TTTGCTTCTTTCTCTTCCGGCTTCTTTTGCTCCACCATTTCTTCTTTCTTTTCATCCTTCTTTGGTGGTTCTTCTATCACCAACTCCTCTTCTTCTTCTTCGGGTATCTTCGGGCCGTCATATTTCTTTCCACTCCTCAAGCTAATTGCACAAGCATTGTGCTTTGGGTTCTTTTCAGTTTGAGGAGGTAGCTTTCCTTGATTCTCCATTTTGCTCACCGATTGAGCAAGTTGTGCCATTTGTTGCTCAAGATTCTTGATGCTTGCCTTGGTCTCTTGCTGAAAACTTTGGGTGCTGGTGGCTAGGCTTTTGACTATGTCTTCTAAGGACATACTTGAGGATCCAGCTTGTTGAGGAAGAGGGGGTTGTTGTTGCCTCGGTTGGTAATTTTGTTGTGGGAATGGAGGCCTTACTTGGTAATGGGGTGGGGGTCTTTGTTGATAACCCATGTTTTGGTTGTTGTTCCACCCTTGATTGCCTCGGGGTTGATCATAAGTTCTTTGATTATGCCCGGAATAGCCTCCTATAACATTTGCTTCTTCATATTCTTCTTCTTGCAATTGAGGACACATATCAGTCGGATGTCCCACTTGAGTGCAAATGCCACAGGGACGGGGTGTGGATTGCACACCTTTGTCCTTAGCAAGCATCATTACCACCTTAGTCAACTCGGATAGTTGAGCCTCAATTTGAGGATTGTGCACCTCTTTTACACCTCGAGGTGCATCGGTGTACCAATCTTCATCTTGACTAGTATGCTTTGAATCCTCCGCCATGTTTTTTATGAGATCCCGAATCTCCGTTGGGGTCTTGTCAGTCAAAGATCCTCCACTTGAAGCATTAAGAAGTCTTCTTTCCCAAGGAGTCATGCCTTCAATGAAGTATTGAAGGATTTGATACTCACTAATACCATGCTTTGGGCAACGGGCACAAAGCTTTTTGAACCTCTCCCAATATGTATGAAAGGCTTCTCTTTTGTGTTGTTTGATCCCAATTATCTCTCTTCTTAGGGCTGAGGCTTTCATTTCTGGGAAGTATTTGTCTAAGAAGAGGCGTGCAAGATCTACCCATGTGTTGACCGTCCCCGGTGGAAGGTCATAAAGCCAATCTTTTGCTGAGTCTTGCACTGCAAAGGGAAATGCCCTAAGCTTGATTTGGTCTTCAGTGACATTGTGCGGTTTCATGCCAACACACACAACATGGAACTCTGTGAGGAACTTGTGGGGATCTTCATTTTCTAAGCCTCTAAAGGTTGGGAGTAAGTGAATGAGACCGGATTTTAATTCAAGGTTTGTGGCTGCCGGATAGGTGATGCAAAGAGGTTGTTGAGTAACCTCTTGCCTCGCCCATTGGCGAAGGGTTTGTTCGGGTGGTGGATTTGGAGGCGGATTCCCTCCATGGTTGTCTCCCATGGTATGAGTAGTGGTTGAAGTTTCTGTGGGTGTATTGTTTGGGTTGTGATGAGTAGGTGAAGAGGGTGGGGTGGTATTTCTAGATGAGGATGGTTGAGGTGAAGGTAATGGACTTTCTGTTTCGGATGCAGACACACTTGAGAGGGTAATATCCTCCCAAATGTTGATGACCGGGGGATTGGGGGATGAAGAAGTACCGGAAACCGGTTGCCTCTTACGAAGCTTGGCTTGCTTCCTTAACTTCTTTGCAGTCTTCTCTATCTCCGAGTCAATTGGCAGTGGTATACCTGTACGAAAAGATCTAGGCATAAACAATTAGTAACACCGTGTCCCCGGCAACGGCGCCAATTTGTTAGGCGTGTCAGACCCAACAAATAAAAGGGTACAATAGACTCCAAATACACTGCTTTAATGCACTAAAAAGTAGTACAAGGCAAGCAGGGTCGAACCACAGAGACACGGGACAAAAGTCTATACCTTTTTGCACAAGGTACTTTGGTCACAAAGGGGGGTTTGTTTGCAAAAGTAAATAACTAAATAACAATCTACTTTAAAAGCATGCACAAAATGAAATAGATTTGTAAACAAATTGATTGAATGGTTCTAGTTCTAGTTCTCAATGTTGTTGTTCAACTTGATTATGACTTGATGTAATTCAAGATTGCTATTCTATGTTGGTACTGAAAGATATTAACACGCTCTAATAACTCTCGCTTGCCAAATTATCTAACCAAAACACGCTCTTTGATTAGACCTAGCTTTACTAATTCAACCTAAACACGCTCTTAGATTGTATTGAAAAACTGCATTAAGTTTTGTACAAGCTTCCCAACAATGTTCATTTCTTCTCATACGCTCGGAAGTGTGAAAACATGTGATATATGTTTTACAATAAGAAAACTTATTGCTTGTTACCAATTATTAACTCAATAGAACGATTAGGTGCCCTAAAAGTTAATTAACTGCACAAAAATTCAATTCATGAAAGTGGCCAATCAAACACAAATCAAATTCAAGGATTCTAGTTTAAACAAAAACATAATCACTAGAATAGAATCACAAATCAAACATCAAATCATATGCTTCAAGTCAAGCAATCAACATGTTTTGAACAAGAACTAGAAACTAGGGTTTCTTAGCCACACATGGCTAAGAACAAATCAAACAAGAATAAGATGGAATTAGAATGTTTAATCCTTACAAAAGTGAAATCCAAATGTTTGCAATGATTAAGTCTTCTCAAAAGCTCCAAAAATTCTCCCAAAATTGGCCTAGATCGCCAGAAACTACTCCCAAAACCGTTCTGTCCTTTAAAATGACGTCTCCTCCTCTTTTATTAGAGTTCACGTGACTTGCCACAAGGCCATGCGTTTTTAGCATGGCCATGCCTTTTGCCCATGTGTTTTTCTTTGGCATGGCCATTTGTCTTGACCATGCGTTTTTGGCATGGCCCGTGCTTTTTGCTAAAATTCCAAAACGTCTTCACTGTTGGCTCCATCTTCATGTTCCAAAGCTCTACGTTCCAAGCATCCAAGCATCCATGCATCCATGCATCCAAGCTCCACGTTCCATGCTCCATAATGCCTGCAAAATAAATCAAAAATAATGAAGTACCAGGCACTCTTAATGAAATATGCAATTGCCCTAATAATCAACTAAATGCAAGAATTATAAAGTAGAATGCTATAAAAAGATGGAAATAAACATGCAAAATAGGTGCATAAAATGCACCTATCAAACCCCTTATTGAAGAACATTAAAAACATGTGGCTCATTGCTATTGATTACTTGCTATCAAAAGCACAAACAATTACAGATAAACAGGTTTTTATGTATATGGGAGCCAACCACAAAGCATTAGATACTACCATGGTCTCCACTGAATGGACAATGTATTAGCTTGTCAAAAACTAAAGATGCATGTTTGATTTCTCTTCTTTTAAATGATTTGATTATACACGACTAAAATGAAATTAAGTTCCAATTCTTTTTCCTAAAAATAAGAATGGGAGGCAGCGCACTAAAAAAACAGAACCAAGAGTAATCAAGCAGAAAATCAAAATCAATTAGAAACAATATATGACGTACTGGAATATCATACAACAACAGAGAATTGGTGTAGGCAATTGAGAGCAAACGTGGTTGGCGACAAAAATTTGAAATCCTGATTTCTTAGACGGGAAATCGTCGGAAACCTCATACCCACAAAGTCGGAGACATCGCTCAAAAAACACAAAATGATCATAAAGAAGAGGAATTGAAGCCTAGAATCATAATAAAATTGAAAGAAGATACAACATACCGAAATTCTTCACTGCTACACAGTACAACCGGTTGTTGACCAGCGTTTGGTGGTGGCAATACAACGTAGGCGGTAGTTGTTGAGAGAAATCGAATTCCTAAATTATTGGATGAGAAGTTGTCAAGAGGATCAGAAAGAACAGAAACTGAACAGATATTGAACAGAAATTGAATAGAAAATCATAATAAAACATACCAAATTCCTCACATCAACACAGTACAGGCGTTTGTTGGTGGGTACTTTGTGGCGGCAATGTTGCATTGGCGGTTCTTGGTGAGAGAAATTGAATTCCTAAATTATTGGTTGAAAAGTCATCGGGAGACTTAAACCAAGATTGTCGGAAACGAAGAAAGAAAGTCGTCAAAATGAAGAAGAAAGGGGTTGAAGAATTATCAAAGTGATGGCGGTAGGTTTGTGGATTACAAAATAAGATGGTCAAAACATCACAGGACGAAATAGTCATTATGTATAAATTGAAGTGGTGAAAGTCCGAAATTGTAAAAGTACATTGTTCACAGACGTGTTGATTTTTAATATATGTATATAATATTTTAAATATATTATATTTATATATATTAATAAATATTACTTTAATTGATTATTAATTTTTTTAATTTCTTCTTTATTGGATTTATTCTTTTTTATTGGAGTATTATATATTAATAAATATTAATTTTAACATATATATATATATATATATATATATATATATATATATATATATATATATATATATATATATATGTGTGTGTGTGATTTTGACATATATAATTTCCTTAAAAATATTTCTACATGAATTACCAAATTCGAGTACTCGCGAGTACTAACTACTCGGTGGTTGGTCGAACGAGTATCGAATAACGTGTTATACAACCATGCCACCACATGCAGTGGCTATGGGGGTTTGAAAACTCTCGATTTAACATTGTCGTCAACGATGGCGGTGTCAGTAACGAATTGTCGGTTGGAGGTTATATGTTTTCTAGGGTTTGTTGCGTATTATGTGGGAAGTCGACCGATGAAGTTTTCATCGAGAATGGCCGACTGTAGAAGATGATCAGAGATTTCTAGCGAGATGATACGACGACACAAGGTGGTAGAAGGCAACGAATGGAGGAGCTGACGAGGACTATTTAGATCGGACCTCCTGTGGTTGGTGGTTGTAACAGAATATGGTCATCTTAGTGGCAGATATGGAGGATTCTGACATATTGCGATGAAGTTGTCATAGGTGGGGTTTTCGCCGAACCATCGATGAAAGTGATTGGCGGTTGTCCTGTCGATTTTCAACGATGGAAGGCGGCACCTTTGCGTATTCTGACGACTTTGTGGTGGAACCTATAAAATTAAAAAGAACTAATATTATAAAACAATACATATTATTAACCTAATAAAATTATATTTATTATATATAAAAATAATAAATTAAAAGTAATAACCCAATGAAAAAATTAACGTAATAAAAAAAATTAAAAAAAATAATTAATAGAAATTAATAATCCAATAAAGTAGTATTTATTAATAGATAAAAATTATATATAATAATCAAATAAAAAAATTACTCTAATAAAAAAGAAATTAAAATATATATATATATATATATATATATATATATATATATATATATATATATATATATATATATATATATATATATATATAATAAAATAGTATTTATTAATATATGAATATAATATAGTAAAAAATATATTTGTATATAACAATCCAATAAAAAAGAATTAATCAAACAAAGAAGAATTTTAAAAAATAATAATAATTAAAAAATTAATATAATTTGTTATTTGGTAAAAAGATTAACTTCAGAAATGACCCCTAGAAATTAAGTTTAAAATTAATGAGATAGTGTCCAAAACCACCAAATAAATATTTTTTTTGCTAATAAACTTTTTTTTTTGGATTTTACCCAAAGAAATCGACAAACCACATGACCATTTTCTCAATTTTCTAAAGTTTTTAGATATACTATAAGAATAAAAATACCATCGCATCTTCATTATACTATCACTATGGCTACTACTTTTTTTGTCATTATAGTACCTTATTAAGAGTTGATGTTCTACAAAATATATATCACAAAAATAAGTATCATGTTGAATCACAGAATTTTTCGACTTAACACAGGTCATTAGGTTTTTGCAGCATATGAGATCAATGTGCAATGTATTGTTAAAGTGATAATAATAAAGGACAAGCAACACATAAATAGGAACGATCCGACAGCATTCTACGTTCTTAAATTCCAAATACATGCAATTCCATTTTCAATGAAAATTTGAATTTGAAATACATTACAAGGATGTCTTGGATTTCTTGTTGGCTTCCAAACATTTTGGAGAAACGAATTCATCCAAAAAAAGCAACTTCATCTCACTCCAATCAAACGGGCGTTCGTCGACTTGCATGCTTTCATTTTGGATACCTTGCCACCATCTGAAAGCCTCTCCTTCCTGTGGCAATGTACGGGCTACAAGTTCGGCTTTTTCAGCCTCTGAAAAAAAATAATAGCTAAAACATGTTTCTACTCTCTCTACCCAATTACAAAAAACATTTAGATCAAACTTGTCAGGGAAAGATGGTAGAAGATCAACTGGATCCAAAGAAGATGGCTTCAGATCTAAACGAAAATCAGGATCTGGCTCTCGGTTATATTTTTTCAAACCCTTTTCAATAGTTTCTACACAAGTGCCCAGACCTTCAAGCCTGTTTGACAAGGACTCAACAACACTCTTAATTTTATTTATATTGTTGACCAACGAAGCCCGAGTAGCGCTATCTACACTGAAAAATATAAACAAATGTACTTTAACTGTAGATGATGCATAAAAAGATCAAGTGCAAAATAGAAAGATAGTTGATATCAAACCAACTCTGTCTCAAATTCAACACTTGTCAAAGTTTTTCATGATTCAACTGTCTCAAAATAGAAAAGATAGTTGATATTAAACCCACTTTACAATTTTCTGCCTCACACAAACACAAAAAACTCAAGCAAATTTATTGATATTATAGATGGACCTTTGCAGTTAAAATGCAAATTTATGAAGACTGTTTAATAGTAAATTAATAAATATAAGAAATTAAAAAGATCATGAAATTTTTACTTAAAAAAATTATTTCATGCATGTTTGAAATAGACCAAACATCGCTCATACATTTATTTAAATCGTTCACCAGAGTTAAAGTGGTACTGAAAAATATAAACAAATGTAAACTTTAGAATGCAAACCGATTAAATCCAAAACAATGGAAACTTTAAAGAATATAAAAATCTGTGAAACTTCTTTATCATTGTCTAATGCCCATATTTTTAAAATATTATCATTCAAAAATGAATTAAAATATCCAGTAAGTAACCTGGATTCACAGTTTCCTTGATCCATGTCTTGTGTCACCTTCCCTGCATCAAAGAATTTAGATTCAGCATAACAAACAATTCCCAGTAAAAATCAATGTGCATCATTTCTGCAAAAGGGTTATTTTTTTCAAACACAACTCTAAACTTGGAATAAAATATAAACTCATCCTAATAAAACCTTAAAACTTTGAACAAAAGGATTTAAACCTTATTCTTTCAATACTATTTCTCTTTTTGAAACATATATATATATATATATATATATATAAAGAGAGAGAGAGAGAGAGAGGGAGAGAGAGAGAGAGAGTTCTATGTAACAACAACTTCATCAGTATAAAGCATCCGAAAAAAAAATAGCCAGACGTCAAAACTCTACACCTAGTCAGATTGATGACAAATCTAGGGTTTTGGCTGTTCCGTTCTCCATAGAAGAAGCCAATACCCGTGCACAACTTATTAACTAAGTAGTTAGCATCACCACGTGGAGATTCTAAATAACTTGTTCTGTGTGGATATTCTAAATAACTTGTTCTGTGTGTTGATTTTAAACTATTTGACTTTGCATTCTAAAGATTTTATATACAAGCATGATTTTTTTATATGATTCGTGTCTGTGTATCTAAAACTCTAATTGAACATATTTACAGTAACTTCTTGCAAAAGAATACATCCAAACCTGAGTCATTCTTCATTTCCCCATCCATCTGCAGTTTGTTGACTTTTGAACCCTGCTGCACAATAGAATTAGAAAGCTCATCTTAATTAAGAGAACAAAAACCAAAGCCCAAAATCAATACAATTGCCTTGTGATATACATATGCATAAATAATTCACCAAATCCCAGATCAACTTGTCCAATCATTGTTAATCGATTTAAGCTATATTGATGCAGATTACATATGCTCATGGTATGAGTGTACAGATGTGCATAAACTGACGTACTCATACTTAAGTTGCTGTGGATGCCATTGGTTATTCAGAGATGCCTCTGGGTTGGAAATGGTAAAAACAAAAACAAAAAAAAAACCACCAAGACGATTTATTTATTTCTTATATGTAAAATGCAAGAACAAACAAAATCCATAATAGCAGCAAACAGAATAAAACCAATCAAGAAAGTTAACAAATACCAAAAGTATGTTACCAAGAGATTATTTATTTATGTATTCCATCCAATTACTCGGCATATCCATGAAACAAGCATATAAAACCATGGTGAAATCAGAAATTTTACATTAATATTCGACTTTTCTTGTCCCCCTTCAAACCAAACCTAACCAAACTACGATGAAAATGAAAATGAAACAACTTTGTAAAGGCATAAAACTAATTTTTCGATCAATTTGAAACATCTTTATGCCTAAATTTGATGCAAAATAAATAGACTTAGTTTATTTAGAGTCGATGAATCATTGAAACTTATATCAGAAAGAAAAAGAAACACAGAAAACAAACCCTAGAAAATAACTAAACAAAACCATTGTCCTCGAATCGGGATCGGGATCCGTATCATAAATCACACAGTAATGAAATTAGTAGACTCGGAAGATTAGGATTTACCGTTATAAAGTGAAGCAATCGTCCCCTGATTTGCCGGCTTCTCCTCCGCCTCTACGCTGTACTCCAGCCCTAAGGTGGAGATGAATCAATTTTTATACGCGTAAGCCGTAACATCAAACCCTATCCACCGGGCCGAGGCCCATTGATTCTAAATAAATTATTTGATAAAACAAAAAAATAAAAGTAGATTAATAAGTTAAAAAAATAATATTGAAAATGAAACATACAAAGTTAATTTGAAATTCTATCGATAAGTTTATCATTTTTATCTAAAATTTAAATATTTTTCAAATTTAACTTTGGATAAATTGAGAAAAAATCATTATATTGTCTGAGTTGACCCTAGGCCACAACGTTGAGCGCATGATGTAAAATTTCCAAAAAAATTAGGCATTGGATCATGTGGGCATTTGGCTAATATAAAATTTCCAAAAAAAAACATATAATTTTAACATTAAGAAGTTGGATTTGTCGACTTTAAATCTAAAAATTATTCATGTTATATCACGGTCGGTCCGTTGATTTTCGGGACCCGGTGCAAAATAAAAAAGAGGCCCCTAAATATATATTTATTTTTTATTTATAGCAAAAATTCATTAATTATTCCATAACTATTATAATATGAAGCAAAACAAAAGAACGATCATACAATAGATAATATTAGACAACTACATGAATAACGAAACTCTCCTAGCATTGTTGGAAGCAAAATTACTCACTAACTCTTCATAATGAGTAGTCTCTAATATATCTTTCTCAATAGTTATTTTCGTCAATGCATTAGGTCTTTCTTATGACATGTCATCTTCTCCTTCATTTGGACATATGATATTTTCTATAATTTTTTAATTTTCTATTTTCCACTTGTCATTTTATTGTATTTTTCTTTTTATTAAATTAAAATTCCACATTTAATATATATGATAATATATATTTAAGGTATTTATTAGAAAAGATTTATATATGTAATGTATTCAATACATTAAAGCCTCATTAATTTTAATAGTTTAAACTTTTTATATTTTTCTTATAAATTCAAAAATTTTAAATTATTAAAATTTAATATTTTTTTTTTAAATAAACTCATGTAATATATAGGTTTCATACCTAGTATCCTCCTTAATAAATGAATGTTTTTTTACCACATGTCATCTTCTCCTTCATTTGGACACATGACATTTTTTAACATTTTTAAATTTTCTATTTTCCACTTGTCATTTTATTGTATTTTTCATTTTATTAAATTAAAATTTCACATTTAATATGTAAGGTAAATATATATATATATATATATATATATATATATATATATATATATATATATATATATATATATATATAAGGTATTTATTAGAAATGGTTTATATATGTAATTTATCCAATACATTAAAGCCTCATTAACTTTAATAATTCAAAAAAATTATTACTTTTCTTATAAATTCAAACTTTTCAAATTGTTAAAATTTTATATTTAATTTTTTTTAAACAAACTCATGTAATACTTGAGTCTCACGCACAGTAAAGAATAAAATATGTATTAATTAGAAGACCTAAAACATGTCAAAAGGAGAATAAAACTATTTTTTATTATATATATATATATATATATATATATATATATATATATGGTTAGGTTATTTTGTTTCTAGTAACTATTGTGTGTCAGAATGCTCAGATCTGGACCATTGGATTGAATATAATCAAAGGTCATGATATGAGGGTCTATAATAGTACAATAGGATAGCATGTACCATATAATCACACAAATTTTAGCATAAGGGCATTTTAGTCAATTAACCTATATTAAAAAAGGAAATTTTCGGATTTTTAGGGATAATTAATTCCTTTATTTTTAAAAAATCTGAATATTTTAAATTAATTTAAAATTAAAAATCTGACTTTATTCTGTCATAATGATAGAATTTTAACCATAAACTAGTAAATATATTTTTTGATTTTATTCTGTCAGAATGACAGAATGTCAACCATAAACTCGTAAATACATTTTGAAAGGCTACACAAAATCGACTTTTAAACTAATAATATACCAAACAATTACATTGTATGATTGTGATTCATTGAATAATAACAAACATTCTGAAAGAATAACAAGTATAATTCTTAAAAAATAGCAATATTCTTAAACAATGAGTGTGATCATTCTTTAATTCATTCTTCAACCCTTTCCCATCAGGTCTTCAAGCCATCCTTGAAGCCATTTCTACCAGAAATTCATTGCCAAGTAATTTGTAGTGATACACTTGTAACAACTACACATTAAACATACAATGTTAAGTCTATTTGTGTTACGTCTTGGTCTATTTGTTTTGTACTCGGATTGGGCCTGTCCATCCGTGTCTATCTAGATTAGTTTCGTTGTTATCTAGATAAGTTGTTAGCGTTATAGTATATATATATATATATATATATATATATATATATATATATATATATATGCATGCATGTATACTTATATTATAGAGTTGTCGATTACGTTGATTCTTGTAACCCTAAACGCCTCTACAGATTGAAGTTCTATATCGAGCTCTTCTGAGGTGTTACTTCATTAATCATTCGACATATTCAATGCAATACTTGTGTTCTTTATTACGTTCTTATTTAATATCTTGCTTAGAATCATACGATCCTGAAAGAAATTTGTTCTAACAATTGGTATCAAAGCAGGAGACTGTGAGATCAATACACATTCCTTCTGTATTCGTAATACTTTAGGGTTTCCGCTTTTATCGTATAAATAGAAGTCGTCGTCTTCATAACAACGACAACTCTATTTTTGATAAAACCCTAATCTCAAGTTTACAGGTTAGATTCTAGCAGCTCACCATGTCTCACGATGATTCGCATACAAACCCTATTAACATCTCAAACAGCATCGGATCAACAACCAGAGTACCCATACTCTATACTCAAGATTACGAAGTATGAGCTCATCACTTTGAAGATTACGTGGTTGGATCTGAAGAAAATGACTATCTCATCTGGGAAGCTATCATTCTTGGACCGTTTGTACATTCAGAGACAAACACAATTGTTAAGACGCAAAAGGATTACAACAAGTTGGTGACAAATGTTTAGAAGATGCCACAGGATGAGAAGGACAAGATCTTGTGTAACGTTAAAGTCGTGCGAATGATAAGATTCGCCCTGCAATCTGACACCTTTCGGCTTGTAGGTTCATGCACAACTGCTAAAGAGATCTGGGATAGGTTGAAGGAACTTTACTCAACTGATGAAGATCTGGAACACTCCATTCAAACTCTGTTACTATCAGAATTTGGAGTTTTCGAACAGAAACCTGAAGAGAAGCTTATACAGACATTTGATCAGTTCAATCATCTCTTAAGTAAGATGATCAAGCATGGGATAGAGAGGAAGCTGATCGAGCAGAAAGTAACATTCATGAATGGGTTGAGACCAGAATGGATGGCTGTGGTTTCCATTGTGAAGGCGCATGAACAGTTCAAATCGTACTCGCTGGCGAAACTAGTAGGGATATTGAAGTCCCATGAAAGTGTTGTAACTAAGGAAGCGAAAGTGGTCTCTGGTGTGGGATCATTGGCTCTTGTTTCTAAAGGAAAAAAGTATTGTTGAAGAAAAAGAAGAGTCAGACATGTCAGAGTGTGACCTTACAAGTGAGGAGTATGCCTTGATGATCACAAATCCAAAGAAATTTGCAAGAAGAAAATTTCCCGCCAACAAGAACCGAAACTGGCAGGGAAGTTATAGTTCTGAGAAGATGAAGGATGAACCGAAAGTCTCCTCTCAAAAGGTTGAAGAGAAAAAGGAAAACAAGCTTGCAAGAGACTCTGGATACGACTGCAACTATTGTCACGGCAAGAACCATTTTGCCAAAGATTGCATGTTGAGAAAGATGGCTGAGAAAAGAGAGGGTGAAGATGACGAGGCGTATTATATGCGCAAATTAGAAGAAGTCAAGAAGAAAAAGGCATCCAACAGCTCAATGAATGCCTTAATCGTATAAGAGAATGTTGGGGAAGATGAGTTTGGTGGCGTAGAAGTATGGTCAACCGACTCTGAAGACGAAGAGGTTAGAAGACCCACTCATGGAAAGGCGTATGTGGCAAAGAATGAAGGTTCAGGTGGAAAGTGCTTTATCGTCACTGCTAGTCCATCAACTGAAAGTGCAGATACGGAACCGAACCTGACAGAAAACAAGTGTTTTGCAGCCAAGCCGGTGAGTGAGAAGATCAACGACTGCGATCGATTGATCAAAAATGTACATTCTATTCTTGAGTCTCTTAAAATTTCCAAAATTGATTATCAAGAAGAATTAAATGAATTAAACTTTAAATTTTCCAACCTAAGTAGTAGCCTCATGCAAACCCGCTTAGCGAATTCTAACCTAACTGACCAACTCGGCAAGGTGTCTTCAAAAAGTGATGAGAGGAGAATTTGGATTGAGCAGAAGGAAGCAGAGTTAGTTAGGGCTAGGGATGAAAGTATTTATTTGCAAAGAGACAATTTAAAGTTGTTAAAACAAAGAAATGTTTTATGTTTAATTGCTAAGCATCTTTATACTAATATTGCTCAATTACATTTAAGTTGTGAAATTGGAAAGAAAATTCATAAAATGATTTTGCCCTTTCTTGAATTTAAGGAAGATGATGTTATAGCAGAATGTGAATCAGAATTGTCCTCTGAAGAAACATTAATGTCGTATAGGTTAGGTTTGGATAAGATAGAAACTTTCATCGATTCTAAGGAACATAAAACTATGTTAAAAGATATCTTAGATGAAAATGATAGGTTAAAGATTAAAACTGAAACTATACAAACATTCGATCAGTCAAATGCTAAAATTGTTAAAGATAATAAAATAAACTTAGATAATTCGTCTGAATTTGATGTGGAGAGCGAGATCAGTGAAATCTCAGTAGAGGATGTAGTTGATTGCTCTAAGTTTGTGAAAAATCAGAAAACTCGGTTGAGTTTGCTCGTCTGTCAAAAGAACAAAAACCAAAACTCAAGGAAAAAACCTTGGTCTATCAAATGTTTCAGACCGTGCCAAATCAGGTTTACGCTGTGACTGGTGTCACTCAAAGGCAAACAACAGAATTAAGAACAATAGTTGACGAGGATAACGCTGAAGGATGCGAAGACT